TAGAAATGTTGTTATTGTATTAACTAAGGTGCATACTTCATTGAGATTTCCTTAGTTTTTCCCTAATGTTGCTCTTCCAAGGCTACCAAATTACTTACAGTCATCTTCTTAGGTTTCTCTTGCCCATGATAATTTCTCCAACTTTTCTTGTTTTTGATGACCTTGACAATGGTGAGGGAAAGTAGCCAGGTGTTCTGTCGAATGTCCACCAACTGGGATCTGTCTGGTGCTTTTCTCGTGGTTAGACTGGGTGCTCTGATCTGAATGCTTGTGTCCCCCAAAATTCAGATTTGAACATCCTAACCCACAAGGTGATGGTACTAGGAGTGAGGGCCTTGGGAGGTGAGGCCATCATGAGAACAGAGCCCTCAAGAATGAGACACTTGTCCTTATAGGTCCCCTTGCACCATAAGAAGACACAGGGAGAAAATGGCCACCTACAAACAAAGCGAACTCTTAACAGATACTTAATCTGATGAAGCTTGGACCTTGGACTTACCAACCTCCAAAACTATGCACAAGAAGTTTCTTTTGTTTATAAGCCACACAGTTCATGGTGTGGGGGCTCATGTAATGACACCATAAAGTGTGGCCATTTGACATGAGGAACTAAAGAAGCATCCTCCAGGTGTCTCTGACCTGTCCTCCTCCATTCCTGGTCTCAATCTCTTTCTCTCCCGGGGCACAGGGAGGGGCTTTTTCTGAAGTCCTCTTATCTCCCTAAGCAGCAACCCACCAAAGAGGACCAGGGTGTTCTTCAGTCCTCTTAATGAAATGTCATTAACCAAGGAAGATTAAATTCCTACCACAGAAAAGACTGAAGAGCAAGTGCCACACCAGAGCCTTTGTCCCAGGACACTGTCTGTTCTTCCAGTCATAACCCCCGACACCCTTTATCCCCCTTTTCAGGTCTTCAACAACCATCTACTTCCTTCAAACCCACCGCTCTGACCCCGGAAATCGTTTTCTGCAAGAACTCCTGGAGAACAGTTGCTTTGCATTTGGGAAGTTTTCTCCCAAATCCTTTATCTCTGCTTTCGGAAATTTAGGTTTCTCTAAAGTCTTGGGCTTTTGAAATGGAAAAATCAGGAAAAATATTTTCTCCCTATTCTCTGCAGTCTCATTCCTTTTCTGAGGTCACAGAAGGGCCCAGCAGCTTGGATGGGAGAGATGGACATGGAGGAGAGAGGGCAAAGAAGCCTAAGAGGGGTTCCAGGGATAGGTGGCAACATCTGTTAATATTTACAAAGTATTGTTTTCCTTCAATAATACTACCTACCAGATGGGATGGTTCTTAAGGGTTAAGTCGGATTATCCATATGAGACACTTACTAAGTATACCTCATACTTAATAAGTGATCAAAAAATGTTAGCGGTTCTTTTCTGTAAAGCGAGAGGATTTAACCTCAAGTTACTTAAATGACAAGATTTCTAAGGTTTCTTCCAACTCTAAAGTTTTGGGTTCCAAATAAGCACAATGAGAAGAAAGTACAGCAGTGCCCAAAGACCTTCCATTTGGCTCATCTTCTCTACCCTCCCCATCCCGGGGAAACTGTTTATATCATGTTACATAACTATGCCTTTGGTTCTAGGTGTTTTGGACCATGGAAGCCCCAGTAGAACTGAAGTAGGTCTTTCCTCTACATTCACGCATCCTTGTTGTCTCTCTGTGCATCTGAATTTCCTCTTATTATAAGGTACTAACCAGGTTGGATTAGGGCCTACCCCTAACAGCCTTGTTTAACTTAATCACTTCTAAAAAGGTCCTGTGTACAAATAAAGTCACATTTGAGGTGCTAGGGGTTGGGACTTAGACATATGAACTTGAGGGGAATATTATTCGGCCCACGAATGCAGATAAATTTCAGTTATTTAAACTTAAGAACTTAGCTCATTTTTTATCACAAATAAATGAAATAAGCCTTGTCACTTCAAGGAAAGCAACTGACAGTCTATGTCACCCATGATAAAATTTAAGCTTTCAACTGAAAATTAGAATTTGGAAAAAGTGGTATCCACCATTATGAGCTCGACAGCTTCCTAACAGGTAAGGTCTTTTCTGACGAGATCAGTGGTGATAGTGGCAAATACAATTTTTTGATCTTATATGATGAAACGTGACAATGTTTAGAAGACAGGCCTAACCTCTGTGAGCCGACATTTTCCATGCATGAATAAAAGATCCATTTAGATTTCAAGTCAGACCAACAGAATTTAGGGTGAAAGAG